TCTGGATGAATTGAGATGGGCTGAAGGCTTACCTGTGTACTCTTCAGGAACTAGTGCTTCCTTTGGCTAGTAGGCTAGGAAGTTTCTGTGGTATCCCAGACTTCACATCCCTCCTTAAGAGTTCCTCTTTGGGAATGTTAGCCAGTGAGACAGGACTATTCCAGTCTATCTGAAAGGTTTTTTTTTTTTTTTAAACAATGTTGAAACTCAAAAGGGAAAAGATGGAGGTCTCAATATCTTTCTTCTCAGGAGAGATCCCCTGTGCAAACTTTCCCAGTACCACCTTGAGCTGACTAGGGCTATTTGGAGGAACGGTTTTGTTAAGATACCCTGTTATATACTTCCTCTAATGCAATGTCTAACTACTCTCTTCTTCCATTTGTATCGGCAAGACAGGCTTCTCATGGGACTTTTTCTAAGCAAAGATCATTTGTTTCCAGTGATGATGTGTTTACCTTGCCAGAGAAATGACTTGCAGTTTCTCTTTAAAAAATGTTTAAAGATCTGTGTCCTCAGATACCCTACTATATATTAATAGGATTATATAAGAAACAGAAGTAGTAAAAAGGAGGGAGTGATTAACTTGGCAGGAGCTATGGAGAAGACTGCTTGGAGTGGGAGATCATCAAGGTTTCATTTCAAAGGATGAACTGAATTGGAATTGAGAAAATAAAGGTAGGATAGGACCAGTATTCCAGGCAGACAGAATAGCATATTCAAGGGAAGACCACAGGAGTTACTAGTAGTGGGCATTTATCTCCTGGGATAGGGGTAGAATATATCTTTCGGAGGAGAGGAGTGCCAAGATGGGAGAGGTTGGTAGAACTTGCATCATAACTGGCTTTTTGTGAGATGCTAAGGATCTTGAAGTTTATCCTGGTGATGAGAAAGCAGTAAGGAATATATTCATTTGCATCTTATTATCTTATCAGCCAAGAACTATCAGGCTGATTTAAAACTTTTCTTCTTATTAATAATCTCATATATCTCCATCAATTTGGATCCACAAAGTCCTTTTCTCCCTATTTACCTTGTGTTGCTCTCAGTTGTTTACTATTTTTTTTAATGTTGCTGGGGATTGAACTCAGGGCCTTGTACATGCAAGGCAAACACTCTATCAACTGAGATAGATATCCAGCCCTGCTTACTATCTTTCATCTAGTATGTTACTCAGCTTTTGGTTGCTGTGGCCAAAATATCTAACAAAAGCAATTTGGAGGAGGAAAAGTTTATTTTGGCTCATAGTTTCAGATGTTTAGTTTTGGAGGCTCAGTCTATGGTTAGCCCACTCCAGTGCTCTTGGCCCAAGGTGAGGTAGAACATTGTGGTCGAAGGATATGGTGGAAACTTCACGGCAGTCAAGAAGCAGAGAGAGACAGAGAATGCGAGTGAGCTGCAGGAAAGATGAACACTTTCAGGGCAGATCCCTTAGTGGCCTACCTCCTTCAGCCATGCCTCACCCGCCACAGTTTCCACCCAGTCAGTCCATTCAAACTAGGATGGACTGATTAGGTTATAGCTCTTATATATAATAAAATCATTGCACCTCTGAATATTCCTGAATTACCACAGGAGCTTTTGATGGGGGGCAGGGGGAACTTATATCCAGACCACTACATCTAGACCATTTCAAGAGTGTACAAACCAGTATCTCTGCTTAATGTTTCCTCCTTTAGTCTACCCTTCATGCTGCCAACAGCATGATTATCCTTAAATAAAACCTGTGATTACTGCCTTTCTCCCAAACCTGCATATACTGCACGGAATACTTCCCCTTATGTGCAGAATAATATCCCATCTGATCAACATGTTGTTTTGGATTCTTCATGAGTTGATCTCAATTAAAAATTTCAACCTTTTTTTCCGTCATTTCACACCCCTTCCTGAACCTCTGTCAATACCAAACTTAGTCCTTTTTCCCAATCTGTTATGTGCGTCATTGTCTCTGTATCTTTGTTCCCTTTGTATCTTCTCTGAAATCTCCTTTCTTCCATGGTTAAGGCTTGCCCAAATTACACCAGCTGCATAAAAAATTACTCCCAAACTTAGCGAATTAACACAATAAACATTTACTATCTCCTACAGTCTGGAATTTAGTAGTATTTGTGTGGCTTGGGATCACTCATGAGATTGTAGTTATCTGAAGGTTTGGCTGGAGATGGAGATATGCTCCTCAAGTGGCTTACTCATGTGGCTGGCAAGCTGGTGCTTCTTCTGGGTAGGAGGCCCCAATCCCTCTCCAAGTTTACTTTGAGTGTTCTCTGTGGCAGCAGCTCCCCCAAGAGTAAGCAATCCAAGAGACTAAGTTGGAAACAACATGCCTTTTATGATTTGGTCTCAGAAGTCACATATTATCAATGGGGTGTGGTAGCTGATACCTGTAATCGTAGCTACTTGGACTGCTGAGACAGGAGGATGGCAATCACCAGACCAGCCAGGGCAATTTAGGGAGACCCTGTCTTAAAAAAAGAAATAATAATAATAAAAGCCAGATATCACCATCTTGCTCTTTGAACTAGTTCTGACAGGGAGATTATACAAGGGCATGGGTATAAAGAGGTAAGGATCACTGGTAATGGTCTTGGAGGCTGGCCAATACATTTCCACAAGAGGATTTCTGGAGTCCCTAAATCCATATACCCTGCTCTTCCCTATTCTCAATAGCTCAATGTTTTAAAAATCAGAGCTCCTGGAGATTCCTTAAGAAAATCATATTTTCTCTTTTTCTTAATTATTTTGTTTTATAAAGTGTGAACCTGAAAAAACTGTTCTGATTTTAATTATCAAAGGACATAGTGTCGAGGAACCTTATTCTCTAAGACCCTAGACCGTTAGAAACTTACTTGTTCTGAGATTTTATCAGTGAGAACAGAACATCCCTTTCTTGCTTGGAGGACCTCAATTATCTGAATCACTTTGATTTTAAGAAGTGGCCTCAATTTATAGGGCAGCAGTTCAGATAAAAAGTTGGAGACACAATATTCTACATTAATTTTAAATTTATGTTTCCAAGGGAATAGAAATTTGAGTCTGCTTCTCAACTTAGGTTTAATATTACATATAGATCTGATTTGCTTTGAGCTTACCAAACACTGCTCAATTTAAATTGTGCCTACATTCTTCTCTTCCCCTAAATATAATGACTCCTCATCCCATCTTGTTTTTTGGAGACATGCCTCATTCTCTTGGTGTGCGGTGTCCTTGTTGAAACAAATTAATAAAATTAACTTTGCTGGGTTATAAGTTTGGCCCTACACACCCAGTGGTCTTTATCATGAACTAAAATTATTGAATCTTATATAACTGTTTTAATTTTTAGAATTTGCCAGGCTTCTTGAACAAGGGTATTTTAAGAATTTTTCATCAGTGGGTAATTTCTATCTTTCCTCTGAATGTTTTGGAATCTATTTATTTGATAGATTATGTTTTTGACTTACACATATTTTCTTCTTTGTTATAAACTCCAAGATGATATCATCACTTTTTCCCCAAAGTTCCTCTTTTATATCACCCTGTAATTCATTAGTGAATTTTGTAATTTTCCCTTTATCCTACTGACTCCTTTGGTGCTTTAGGATTCTGCTACAAAATCATCTTCTTTGTCAAACCTTAATTGAAAGCTCTGGGAAAAACTAAGCATTTGCTTGCTTGAGTTCTCATGGTGCCTTGTTTAAAACTCCAATGTGGCACTTACCATGTGTATAATTTCTTTTACATGTGTTTTCTCTCTATCAGCCTCTAGAGAATAGGGATTATCTGTTCATCTTTGTATTTCCTGTGCCAGGTATACTAATTACACCAGGCTTACAGGAGATAATGAAAATGTCCACATGGCAGCTGGAGAATTTAGTAGGAGCTTCACTTTTACATAACTTAGAATTGACTGTTGAACACCCTACACAAACCAATCATTACTGTATCAGGTCTTTATGATTCTTGGAACATGTATTAGGCAATTGCCAATTTATATTGAGAAAACACCTAAGGCACCACTGTTTTGTAGACTACTTTTAACATGTAGAAGCCTTTAATACGTGTATATATTATGTGAGAATTTATGACCTTACTTTTCTGACACTTGCTTTTCTCCAGTCTCAACTGAAAACTGTGACTCCTTAAATTATTGTGTATGTGTTAGGCTAAATGTTAGGGACAACAATTCTGCATCATAGAAGTCAGACAGCATAAGAATGCTGTAATCTGTAAACCCTTCCTGATTCTGGGAGTAAGGCCAGCATTAATACAACGCACGATTGTTATTTATGAATGTTGCTTTGCAAAGAACGGAGATTATCAAACTTTTTGTTTGACAAGACCTACACAAAGAAACACATTTTATGTCTCCACCCGCGATATATAATCTACAAAAAACTGGAATAAAAACTTCTCAAAGCAACTCCTTTACTAAGTGATGTATTCTGAGATTTTTGTTGCGTTGTTCTCAAAAAAAAAAAAAAAATCCAAAACTGCACCCCCCCCCAAAAAAAAAAACCCCAACCAACCAAACAAAAAAACCAAAGTGGAGGTCCTGTTTTGCCAAACCGATTTCACCGTCCCCTAGAGGTTACGGTTTGGAAAACCCTCGCTGGAAAAACGAGTTCTTCCCACAGTCCCTGCCTGCTTTGTGTAAGTCCCAGTAATCATAAAGCCACCAGTTTTGTGTAAAAGGGGCCGCTCCCTTCTTCCCGAGCTCCTTTAAGAGGGTGGTAACGACCCATTACGGTGGGGGGTGGCGGAAGGCAGGGCCCACTGAGTCCTCCGCGCAGGCCGGGCCCGCTCCTCCAGTTCTTGTGAAAGCAGGGTGTAAGCGCACCGAGAGGGTAGGGCTGAAGCGTGGGTAGCAACAGGACCTTGCTGGGTGAGGAGAGGCTGAGGGAAGATCGCCTACGTCCCAGCGCCGCGTTTCCGGCAACCCCGTGGGGGTCCGCGCCTGCGCAAGGCGCGTCCCGGGACCGTTCCGGACTCCCAGCTCCCGCGCGCGCTCCCGCCGAGCCGAAGTTCGCGGTGGGCTCGGCGCTCGGGTGGCGCGGCGGCGCGCTCCAGGGGGCGGTCCTGCGTGGCCGGCACCGCCCTCCCTCCTCGCGGTCCTCTCCTCCCAGTCTCCCCAGCGCTTCCTGCACTAAGGTAGTTGCCGCCGAGTCCCCTTCGCCGGCTCGCTCGCCCTGGTGGTGCCATGGCGGCCTTTAGCAAGTACTTGACGGCGCGGAACTCCTCGCTGGCGGGGGCCGCTTTCCTGCTGCTCTGCCTGCTCCACAAGCGGCGCCGCGCCCTCGGCCTGCACGGGTAAGGTTCGTGGCCGCGCCGCCTTCCCGGGCCCGAGCTGGCGCTCCCCGCGTGCACTCTCCGCCCAGCGCCTGGCAGACGAGTCCCGGTGCCGGCAGGATCAGGCGGAGAGAGGGCGGCCGCGGCTACAGCCAGGCTCCAATGTCAGGGTGTCCCCGCAGCGCCGGCTCCCCGGCTTTCCGCGTACCCCGCTGGCCTGTCGGGCCACCTCGCTGTACCGGCAAGAGTGAGAATTTTCTCCTGCGCCCACAAGCAAATATGGGACCCAGCCCGGAGGACAGTCGCTCCTACTCGAGGGTGGGAGGAGGGGAAGCAGTGTGCCCATCCGTCATCCAAACCACCTAATTTCTGTATCAACTTTCTGGCGGTGTTTTAGTTTTGTCATCTCATTTCCAGACAGACCTGAAGGATTTGTTTTATGGACGTGGTTGTGTGATCTGAGGATGGGGATTGGACTCTCCAGGATAGTCGCTGTTAGGTCTAAGTCATTTGGATGAGGTTTGGCTCGATTCCGGAGTAATTGCTGTCATAGTCGCCAGGGTGATTCCTGTGAGCTATCCTGGGGCCACTTGGCATGGTTTCCTTCTAAAGTGCCCCACACCACCCCTTTGGAATTGCTTAGTGAACGCCCTGACATTTCATCTGGAAAAACTGAATTGGTTTCGTGGTATTTGTAGGACAAAGTTCCCTTTTGGCTTTGTAGGTGAAAGGTAAAAGTGTGTTTTAGGTGAGGATCAAAATCCTTTTTAATTACACTGCACTGCTTTCACCGCGAGAGGATTTTCATGATGAGATTTAACTTTGGGGAGGTCATAAGATTAGAGGAAGAAAGAGAATTGAGTTATAGTTGTGGAATTGCAGGCATCATTTTTATTTCCTGGGCTAGAGCAAGTGAATGAGAAAAGGTTAGTTCCCAAGCATTCTTGCCAATCATTACATATGTCATATTAAATCTTAGCATCCTGCTTTCATGAATTCTATTTCATTCATGTCTCTGGGCAGGTACTTTTTTCTCCTGTTTTTGATTTGCTTGGTATATAAACACTAAACACTGACAGGTGGCTCCTAGTCCTCTTCCCATGAAGTACTTTCTAGCCGCCTCCTAACTAAAGTCTGAAGTGATGGTCCTTTCTTTCCTAAATCAGTTTAACAAAGTTGAAAATAGTTCACATCATAGGCTGGACATTTACAGTACCTATTCACTTTTCCTATTCTGTGTGTTTTAAAAAAAAATGTTACTTATGGAAAATAGAAAACATTTTTCTATTGGATTGTATGCTTTTTTTTTTTTTTTTTTTTAATATTTATTATTTTTTAGTATTTGGCGGACACAACATCTTTGTCTGTATGTGGTGCTGAGGATTGAACCCGGGCAGCAAGCATGCCAGGCGAGCGCGCTACCGCTTGAGCCACATCCCCAGCCCCGGATTGTATGCTTTTTGAACTCCCAGTTGCAAATGAAAGTTATCAGTTATCTGGGCATATTCTGGTAGGAAATATTAAGTGCTTTAACTTGAATTGCATTTTTTGCGGAGAAGTGTTAGCACAGAAAATTGTTTTGACATGGGGAGGAGACTTGAGGACAGCTAACAGTTCTGGCATGCTTTGATGTTTTTTTAAAAAAACTTCATTGGACTACTACATGCATATAGAAAAGTATACATTATAAATCTAGAGCTTGAAGAATTTTTACAAGTAGAACACACCAGTGTAACCAGCATCCAGATCAAGATTATCAGCATCCCAGAAACCCTCCGCAGGCCCCCTTCCAGTTACAGTCCAAGGAAACTACTACATTGACTTTATAAGATTGTCAGTTATTGAATAAGAGAAATTGAACACCATCTAATGGGCGGTAGCAATAGCAGTGAAATAGTATAATAGAATTTGTCTTGTTAAATAATTGTAGCTCTTCTTTCATCATGGTACATTTCTTTAAGCATCTCTTTTTGAGGAAGTTTTTGAGGTGGCTGAATTATGCAAAAGTTAATTTACTGGACAAAAGGTTATTGTTAATCTTTTGTATCAGGAGTAGGAAAATCTTTATTTTACACATCAAGTATTTTGTGGGAGGAGAAGCAGATTATGAGCAGATGAATGTGGAGTTGAAATTACTGAATAAAATGATTGAACTGTTTTGAAATCATTAAGAATTGTATTGATGGGCTGGGGTTGTAGCTCAGTAGTAAAGTGCTTGCCTCTCATGTGGAAGGCACCAGGTTCGATCCTCAGCACCACATAAAAATAAAATAAAGGTATTGTGTCCATTTACAACTAGAGAGAGAGAGAGAGAGAGAGAGAGAGAGAGAGAGAAAGAAAGAATGGTATTGAGTCTGTCTTTGTAGATGTTATGTACTTCCAGAATCTTATGCCTTGCTTTTACTCACTACTTTGTTATCACAGTTCAAAGACTATAAAATTCCAACCTTATATTTTATTGACCTTTGGGATATCTTTTGTAACAAGACTAATTTTAATGTCTATCCAGTGCTTAATTAAGGAACATGTGATTACTAAGCCTTCTTTTGTCCATGTTGTTAATAGTAGGTTTGTCCTAGAATATGTGTTCTCTTGGAATCGTATAGGTAATAGATCTAGTAAAACCACATTAAAGGTTACAAGGTAATGTTATTCCAAACATTTGAAGAATGAGTAATTAATGTTCTGGGTTATTTTAAATTTTTGTAAGTTTATTATTTTTACTAGTTAAATCTCATGCATATGCACAGCTTTTTATTGTGGAAAATTTCACACACACACAAAGTAAATAAAATAATATAATAATCCCCCTGTTCATTTTACCGGGAAGTACCAAGAATATTCTGATATTCTTGTTTCACTATATCTACCAGCTCCTTACCCCTTGTTTTTACAGGTTTTTAGGTGAAATTTGTATACATTTAAATCTTAGTTATACATTTTTTAAGTGAATGGATGTACTTGTGTAATATATGCCTATCACAAATTAGAACTTTTCAGAGAAAAATTTCTTTGTATTCATTTATAATCATTTCCACTACTATGCTAACTTTTTTCACTTTAGTTTTACTTAATCATACATTCTATTTTTATTATTATTTATGGGGAAAAATTGAATCTTTTTACTCATGGATAAGAGCCATTTATTTAGTTCAAAGGAATATCTGTTTCTGAATGTTGTATTACTGTGCTAGGTGCTATAAGGGATATATATATATATATATATATATATACACACACATACATATATATACACACACACACACACACACAACAACATACATTTAAAAATATGAGACATCTTTTCTTAAGAAGCTGTTGTTCTTATTAAGGAGAGCAAACTTAAATACAAGTATTTAAAATGTAAGATGATGACAGTGAAGTGTATAGGCAGATGTGCCCTCAAAGTTCTGAGAAAGACCAGATTATTGTGTTTGAAGTGGTTAGGGGGTAGGTTTATGAAGAATGTGCACTAAACTTAGGAAGGTGGTGGGAATGGATAATGAAATAAATTGAATATTATAGCAGTCTTTTATCAGATTTTTGTGGCATTTATGATACGAAGAAATCTTGCCCTTTTCATCTATCTTCCACAGCTACCAGAGCTCTTTTTTAAGAAATGCAAAGTTGCTCATAGTATTTCTTCATTAAAATCTTTCAACTACTTTAAAATAAAACTTCTGTTCATTATTTGGTCTTTGACTACTTTTTGTATTTACCAGCCATGTGGAATTAATTTGTAATCTCTGAGGTGACAGGCTGTGCCTAGCCTTTGCAGACTGATTGTAATCAGTGTCATACCCCCCACTTCTACCCTGTGATAGTTCTTTTTCTTCAAGATTCAGTCTACGCTTAATCTCTTAGGTGTTTTCTGTCTTTTCCCTGTCTCCACACTGATAGATGTCCTCTGCTTTCCTGACACTCTTAAGCATCTCTGTACTATAGCAGTTACCATTTTGTATTGTGCTGGTTTCTTTTCTTGGCTTCTGCCTGCATCAGAGTTTCTTGAGGGCATGGACTGAGTAACCTTTAAATCCCTATTTGGATCTACCATAGGATAGATAAGTGTTAGAGTGGATAAATGATTTGAGGTTATTGAAAAATCTTTAAGGGTAATTGAAATGCCTTGGAGATGTGGGACTATTACAAAGAAGTAGAGGCATTATCTTCACAGAAATGATGGTGTACCTAGTAGTATAGAACATAACCTGGGTAGTGGGAAACTGGTGTTCCAGTTTTAGAAGGCAGGGAAAGGGATCAGTCTACATTGCCACAGTATTTTATTATCTTAAATGAAGCATAACAAAGCAGTTTCTTTCCCTTCCCATCAGTGATTGTGAAGTTCAGATTTCTTATCCTGGATTTCAGAGCCTTCCTCAATCTGGTGTCATTTTACCTGGCTAATCTTATGTGCTGTTGCCTGCCAGGGGGTGCTCTGTTCCAGATAGGCCAGTTTCTGTGCTGTTTGAACAGGCTACCCTCATTCTTGGCTTCTGAGCTTTATCCATGCTATTGTCCATTCCTGAAATTTCTCTGTGTGCTCTGTTCTCCAAATCTTGCTATCCTTGAAGAGCTAATAAAGCAGGATTACCTCTTCCATGAAGTATTTAGCTATTCTAGATGATCTAAATGATGATCACTCCCTGTTTAACCTTCTGAAAAACACGTTTAAATGCCTTTCTTGATTTACCTAATCATTATATATATATAATATATAATATAATATATTATACGCTATATATTAGCATATAATCTAGCAATGTGTTTTGATAAAGGGTATACCTTTACCCTTTACCCTTTTTAACACTCTAATCTATAAATGGTGGGACACAATTTCCTACCCCAAATATATCTGAGGAGTTTCAAGAAGCTTGTGTTTTTCTTAGTCACACTTTACTTCACTTTTTGGCTTCTCTATTTTTAGATCCTACCTACATCTTGTCTTTTAACCTTGTCTCTTTGGTAGCTGCCTTGATTTCTCTGAATCAAGATCCACAAAGCAAGGGTTTCTAGAAGACTTC